AGGCGGAGGTGAAACGCTGAACCACACTGGCTGGGCTGAAATAAAAACTTTTTAAACTAAAACGCAGTTTATGGTGGATAATCATGTTCTAGGCCGACATCTTCCCTGACAAAGGTTGATCTTTACCATAACAGAGCCTGTCGTCTTTCTGCATCTACAATAACATATCATTGGAATGTCAAGGTCATTTTCCTTTGTTATTTTTTAATATTTTTTTTAAATTAAGGTTTTATATGTGTGCATATCTTATCATTGCCCCTCCTCCCAAGCATACCCTCCCTTCCCAGAGTTTTGCATCCATTGGTTATGCTTATATGCATGCATACAAGTCCTTTAATTTCTTATCTCCCCCATATCTCCCTACCCTCCCCGCTGTAATTTGACAGTCTGTTTATTGCTTTACTGTCTCTATATCTATCTTTTTGTTCATCAGTTTATAATGTTCTTTATTATCTATAAATGAGTGAGATCATGTGGTGTTTTTCTTCCATTGACTGGCTTATTTCACTCAGCATGATGTTTTCCAATTCCATCCAGGTTGCTGCAAATGATAAGAATTCCTTCTTTTTATGGCAGCATAGTATTCCATTGTGTAGATGTACCATAGTTTTTGGATCCAATCATCTGCTGAGGGGCACCTAGGCTATTTCCAAATCCTAGCTATTGTAAATTGTGCTGCTCTGAACATAGGGGTGTATCCTTTCTGATTGGTGTTTCCAGTTTCTTTGGATATATTCCTAGGAGTGGGATTACTTGGTAAAATGCAAGTTCCATTTTCAGTTTTTTGAGGAAACTCCACACTGTTCTCCACAGCGGCTGCACCAGTCTGCATTCCCACCAGCAGTGCACGAGGGTTCGTTTTTCTCTGCATCCGTGCCAGCACTTGTCCTTTGTTGATGATAGCCATTCTGACAGGTGTGAGATTTTTTTGGGGGCCCCTCATAGGTCAGGCAAGCTTTGTGGAGAGCACAAATCCCCTCATTAGACTGAGTTCCTGATTGACAGTTCACTATCCTGTAGCCACCTTGGTAAAGGCAGGATACCTTTTATCCATTTTACTTTTTATCCAATCTCCTCCCCCGCCCCTCACCTCCCTTTGCTTTCCCCTGCCTCCCTAATCTGTCACCATGGATTTCACGTGACCCACTCGTTAGAATGAAGGCCTTGCTTTTTCTCTGCTGTAGCCTTCCAGAATGTATGAGAAGCACCTGGTAATCAAATCCCAAGACTGCTAGCTCCTTTGGTCAAACAGCCCCTCTGTTCAGACTTACAGACAAGATCAGTGACTCTGAAGGCTGCCTATGTCCTCCCTGCTGGCTCACCACTCAGGATGAGACACCCCCTAGGACTTCTGCCCGGACTGTCTCCTGGAGAAATAACAGACAACCCTGCCGTCTGTGCCATGGTACCCAGCAACAGCAGCTGCCCCCAATGCCCCTCCCTGCCCTGTCCATGCTGTAAGAGGAAGAGAAGTCTTGTTCTTTGTCCTTGGTTAGCCATGAACTGGAGCTTTCCCTCTGGGAAATCAAATAACTCTCTCTCTCTCTCTCTCTCTCACTCTCCTCACAGAATTCTTTCACAACCCAAGTCACCTACTCACAGGCCCGAGAACCCATCAGCACTTTCGTCTCCTCTTTGGATTGTAAGGTACCAAACGAGGTGCAGAACCACCGCTCTCTGGAGCGTGATCTCAATCTGTGGAGATTCTGCTTCCCAGTAGGTGTGGACACTGTGTCAGGGCCAGCCTGATGGTGGGACTGGGCTGAGGTAGGGAGGTGGGAAATGAGAAAAGAAAGACAGGGGAGTGGGATCAGAAGGGTCTGCAAGCCATTGACCGACTGTAGCAGCTTTATTTACTTATTTTAAAAAATATATTTTATTGATTTTTCACAGAGAGGAAGGGAGAGGGATAGAAAGTTAGAAACATCAATCAGCTGCCTCCTGTACACCCCCCACTAGGGATGTGCCCGCAACCAAGATACATGCCCTTGACCGGAATCGAACCTGGGACCTTTCAGTCCGCAAGCCGACGCTCTATCCACTGAGCCAAACCGGTTTCAGCTGCAGCAGCTTTATTGACTGCGTAAAGCCTTTTATACACAAATACTGAATGGGAGGTCAACGAAGAGGAATCTACTCTCTGTTGCTCTTAATCTCTAAGAAAAATAATTTAGGAAGCTAAATTACTGGTGAATATTTACAGACTTCTGATAAGCTATGAAAGGTCTCTCTTATTCTGCTGACAATAGGAAAGTGACATCAAAACAAGTCAGGGAACATTCTGTATGCGTAGGGGTCCGAGCATGTCAGCTTAAAAAAACGCATAAAAATTCTCAGGTTTGAATGTTTCTTGCATTAACAATACATATTAGCGTAGAAATTATTTGACAGGTATGTGTCCTTTTGGTCTATCCAGAACAGATAACACAATGGGGCTCACAGAGGGGAGCTCACCATTTTACAACCTTTTTCTCCAAAACAAACTGTCCGTGAGGGCCCTCAGCATCGGGGGGCAAGAGGGCCAGGAACACGGGGGTCTCTGCGCCTTCCTCTGGGCTTTTTGGGGCTTCCAGTCCAGTCATGTCGGTTCTCACCCACCCCGGGCAGCAGGCGTTCAGGAGGATCCTGTCCCCTCCCCTGTGTGCACTCAGGTTCCTGGCCTGGACCCGGGACAGGACCGTGACGCCGATTTTGGTGACACCGTAGGTGCTGCTGGACCAGCCCTCCTTCTGGTGCACCCCGTTCCGAGTATCTTCCACGAACTTGTTCATGAGCCCCACCAGCTCCTCCTCGCTGATGGTGTCGCTTCTGAACTTCTGCTGCAGCTCGGGGCTGCAGCGCTTCAGAGCTCGGAGACCCTCCATGCTTGACACGTTCACCACTCTGCCTGCCATGCGACGGAAGGAAGTCGTTATGGAGAAAGGCAGGCCCGAGAACACGGGTGCCAAAAATGTTGGGATTTGCCCTGACCGGTTTGGCTCAGTGGATAGAGCGTTGGCCTGCGGACTGAAGGGTCCCAGGTTCGATTCTGATCAAGGGCATATACGTTAGCTGCAGGCACATCCTCAGTGGAGAGTGTAGGAGGCAGCTGAATGGATGTCTTTCTCTCATTGATGTTTCTAGCTCTCTATCCTTCTCCCTTCCTCTCTGTAAAAAATCAACAAAATACATTAAAGAAAAAATGCCAGGGTTCTAGACCAGGGAGTTTTCATGAGCATTAGTGAAGACTGCCTCTATGAGGAAGGCCAGAGACAGTGTAGAAACCAGTCATACCCAGTATATCTCAGATGGTGTCAGAGAGAGAAATGTGTTTTTAATTTTTAAATTATATTCTTATTAATTTCATAGAGGAAAGGAGAGGGAGAGATAGAAACATCAATGATGAGGAGGATCATTGATTGGCTGCCTTCTGCATGCCCCACACTGGGGATGGAGCCCACAACTTGGGCATTGGCCCTGACTGGGAAATGAATCGTGACTTTCTGGTTCATAGGTCAACACTCAACCCCTGAGCCAACCTGGTTGGGCTCAATTTATCTCTTAATACCAAGTAGTTCTGTGAGAACAGTTGTATGCTAGCTAAAGGTAAAGCAGTTGTTCAAAGGACAAAATCTTGGTGTGTCCTGGCTGTACAGGATGGACTACGTACGTGTTCCTTCCCATCTCTCCTTAGCTCGCACCGGCTCCCAATGGCAGGCTTCCTCCCGGTACTGTGCCTGCACCTGTCACATACATTCCATACAAAGTGTGTATGCTCAGGGATCCTTTGGCTGGAATGGAGCAGGCAGGCGGGGGTGAGGCAGTGAAAATAAGGGTTCTGCTTGGCCAGAGCAAGATTTGGCTTTTGCTCAGGTCTGCTGGGGTAATCTTGAAACTGTTGGACTGTCCTGCCTGATAAGACTGTCCTTGTTTACTTGGGGGTTTAGGTCCGGCTCCACAATGGATGTTTGCAATGTGGTTGTGGTGAGCTGTCTGGGGAGGGCGCTGGAGAGGAAGGTCAGCGGAGAGAGCAGGGGGCCATGTCTGCGAGGCCAGCCCTCAGCAGACGCACCTGAACCAGGCGGAGAGCGTCCCTGGACGGCGGGGCCTGTGTTCCTGTCACACACAGCTGCCGTCTGCAGGGCTCCAGGCGACAACAGGGAGCTCCCTGCCCGGTCATCCTTGGCCCCACAGTGGACTGGCATGCCTCTCCCTCTCCTCTCAGACTGCGCACTGAGGGTAGTGGCTCCCCTGAGTTCTGAGTCCTTGCAGGGAATGGTGAACCTGAGGGTGGTCTTGGGGAATCTGAGCTTGTTAAAGCCAAGTGATGTTTACTCAGGAAGGCAGAGGGAGGAGGGAGGAGGGAGGATCTGGCCTGGGATCCTCAGGGGACTCCAATGGTTGTGAGAGGCAGGAGCAATGACTGGCCTCTCTGAGGAGACTTCTGAACGAAGAGCTGAAAGGATAAGCAAGAGCTGGTTGTGCAGAGACCCGGGGGGACACAGAGCACAGATACCCAGTCCTGGGCCTGCTGAGCCCCCAGGGGGCAGTGCAGCCCAGCATGGAGCAGGAGCTGGAGCTGGAGCAGGAGCAGGAGCAGGAGCGGGAGGGTCTGGAGGTGACCCCTGGGGGCAGGACTGGATGCTGCCACAAACACACTGGATGCTGCGCTCCTACACTCACCTTGGGGCTTCACGAGAGGCAGCAGCTCCGTGCAGACGTCTCGGGTACCAAAAAAGTTCGTTTTCATCGTCACTTCTGCCTTAATATGAAATGGTGTGGGATCTTTCCCTTTCAGGAAAGAAGGGTATAGTTAATGAATAGTAGCCATGTGGTAACACTCCATAGAATGGCATAAAAGGTGAGTTTTGTGTACAATTGGTTCCTAAGTAATTGCACTGTGCAAGGACCATTTCCTTGTTCCCTGAAGCTCTCTAGTGTGAGACGGGGCCATCCCCGGAGGCGGGCGCAGGGTGCACAATGGGGTCTCTGACCCTGCTGGCGACCACCCAGCCTTTTACCCTTGAAGGCGATGCCCGCGTTGTTGACCAGCACGTTGAGGCCCCCGTACTCCTGGCGCAGGAAGTCGCGCAGGGCGCGGATGCTCTGCAGGTCGTCGATGTCCAGCGGGTGGAAGCGCGGGCTCAGCCCCTCGGCCTGCAGCTGCTGCACGGCCGCCCGGCCCCGCGCCGCGTCCCGCGCCGTGAGCACCACGTCCCCCGAGAACTGGCGGCACAGGTCCCGCGCGATGGCGAAGCCGATGCCCTTGTTGGCCCCGGTGACCACCGCCACGCGGCTGCAGGAGGACATGGCCGGGCAGGGGTCCGTGAAACACTAGTTGGAGAGCAGAGCGGGGGCTGTGGATGCCAAGGGCTGCGACCAGGGCTCCCGCGAGGCTCGGCGCGCCTGCGAGGGCGACTGGAGGGCGCACGGTGCGCACCGGCTGGAACCGCTGTCCTCCAGCCCAGCGCGCAGGCGCAAGGCCCGCCCACAGGGGCGTGACTCGTCTCTTTGCTCGTCTAGCCCCGCCCTAGAGGCGTGGTCCAGGCCCGGCCCCGCCTCTTCCGGCCCGAAGGAGCCTAGAATGCGAAGCAGGGCCACCTGGCAGGTTTCCAGGAGGGCGGGCCTGTGGCTGCGGGCCACGCCTGCCTGTCAGCAGAGAGCCATTCTGATTGGTCGTCTGACCACCGTTACACGGAACCCTCGGCCTTGGTTCTCCGTGGGCTTTCCGCTGGTGTTTTAACGCCTGCAGCCCCAAGCAAGTGCCCGGAGCGGTATCTTTGGGATGAGCTGAGAGGGGACGAGGACTCAGTGTGTGTTATTTGTCCCCCAAGTGAATGAAAGCACAGCTCCCGGCTTCCCCCAGCTGGTTCTTACAGGACAGCGGGCAACTAGTCATGTGACTCATCCCAGGGTTACCACCCGCCTAGATCCGCGACTTTCAGCCAGCGTGTCCGGTGCAAGACGTTTTAAAACATGCAATGCCTGTTTATTCAGGGGCACTGACCTCTTTGCCCTTAGCTTGTCAAGTTAAAAAAGACAACAGCCTACATACAAGCATGTCAAACTCAAGGGCTAACACGGGCCAAATAAACAAGGTTTAAGTTTATGAGGGCCGCAAGCTTGACATGCTTGGCCTACACAAGAGCTGACCCGTGTTGGTGAGTCAAAATTATGCTATTTTTTCTATCAGATCGGCAAAAAATACATATATTTTTGGTGTATGAAGCATCCATCTTATATGAAAACTGCTGTGTGAAATTTTAACCCTGCTCATTGGCTTCTGAAAATTCTTGCTTGCTGAGACTACTCCCACTTCAGCTAAGCTATTGAACTTCCCCAGACAAGGTCATCAGTGCTGGTGCCAGGCCAGGCCTCTGTTTGAGGTCTCAAGGCCCCAGAACACACTGGCTCTTTAAGAACTTGCAAAAGGGGCCAGAAACACTCCATATTCGGGAGACAAAGAGGGTAGGGTCATATAAATAGGGAGAATTCCTGCATGTTGGGGCCCAGAATTTGAGATATTATACATTTTCCTCTGGACCAGCGCGTAATAAATGTAACTCCAACTCTCTAATATTGCTTTGTTCTTCTCTGGTTTTCTGTAACAGCAGGGTTAAAATTGCAGACAGCAGTTTTTACACAAGATAGAGATGACTCTGCTTCAGTAGTTCAGAGAATGCTCATATATGCCTTATCAAGTTTCCCCAACTATTAACCATCTTACAATATGGCTCACTTGTCACAAGAAACTACCATTGGAGCAGCAGTAATAACTGAACTCCATGCTTTATTTGAATTTTACTAGTTTCCCCCCTAATGCTCTTTTTCTATTTCCAGATTCCCTACAGAGTATCATTACATTTATGACAGATTCTCAGTTTCTTGACCTTTGACACAGTTTAGGAGTACTGTTCAGGTGTTTTGGGGTTTGTCTGATGTTCTTCTCAAGGAAGAACGCGATTATAGGATTTGGGGGAGGGAGACCACAGGGGTGAAGTGCCCTCCCTATACCCTGGCATGCTATCACCATAACCCATCACCGAGCATGTTAACCTTCAGCCCCTGGCCAGGCACTGCTTGCCAGGTTTCTCCACTGCACACCTACTTTTCCTCACTTTCCATGCTGCATAGTACACTTAGAAGTGTACTAAGCCTATTCCACAATCCAGGTGGCGATGGGGGTGAGGGGACAGAAATTGAGCTCCATCTCCGCACAGGGAGGAGTATTTACTTAAAAGGTATGGACTTCTGCCAAAACCGGTTTGGCTCAGTGAATAGAGCCTCCGTCTGCGGGCTGAAGGGTCCCGGGTTCGATTCCAGTCAAGGGCATGTACCTTGATTGAGGGCACATCCCCAGTAGGGGGTGTGCAAGGAGGCAGGTGGTCGATGTATCTCTCTCATCGATGTTTCTAACTTTTTATCCCTCTCAATTCCTCTGTGTAAAATCAATAAAATATATTAAAAAATTAAAAAAAAAAAAAAAAGGTATGGACTTCTGTAAGGCTGATCCTGGGAGAACTAGGCCAGGGAGGGAGAAGTTGGGCGGGGCGCCCGGGGCGGGGCGCGCGGGGCGGGGCGCGCGGGGGAATCGGCGCGGAAGCTGCGGCCGCCTGGGCTCGCCGTTCCGCGCTGAAGGCGGAGGCGGAGCGGAAGGCGCGTTGGATCCGGCGGAGGGTCGGGAAGGCCCCGCGTTCCGAGCTCCTCCCTCCGCTGGCGGCGCCTCGGAGCGCAGGCCCGGCGCCCGCGGGCCCTGGGTTTTCCCGCTCGCGCCTCAGTCGGGGCCGGAGACGGACCGGGTCCCGGTCCGGGGACCCACCGCGCACGCCCCGGCGGAGCCCGGGCCGGAGGGCGCCGCGCGGCGGCCCAGGACGTGGCTCCGGTTGGTGAGGCGCGGAGCCCGGCCGCCGTCACCGCGGGGAGCCCGCGCCAGGTGAGCCCAGCCCTTCCGGCCGCCCGGCTGGGGTAGCGGAGCGGCGCGCGCTGAGCGTGGCTCCTGGCTGAGTTTTTTGATGTAAAAATTGCTGAATTCCATCGCCCACTCCGCCCGCCCGGAGGCGTTCCCTGGGAGCCGGGGCCCGCGGGCGCGGGGGGTCCCCCTGCAGAGCTCGCACCCCCTCCCCGTCCCCGGGTCAGGTGCGGGCGGGGCCTCGGCCCCGGCGCGCCCCCTTTCGGCAGGTGAGGCGGGGGTAAGGGCGCCGGGCTGGGCGTTAGGGCTGAGTGTTAGCGCACACAAAGCCCAGTCTGCAGGGTGCCGCATAGGAGTGTGTGGAAGTGACAGTAACGCCCCCTCCCCGGCACCGCCTTGGCCATCTTTCCTTAAGTCTTCAGGTTTTATACACATACATGATGGCTTCCAGATCGTTGATGTTTCTGCCTCCCTCTCCCTCTCGGAACTCGATAAAAATATATTTTAAAAAAGGGGATCATTGGGTTTGTAATGCTCTGAAACTTTGTTTTCCCCTTGGACACTTCTACACCTGAGCATATATTTCCCCCCTGTTGATGGCTACGTAATATTCCAGTATCTGAATCTTGCTTTTTTTTTTTTTTTTTAATTCTCACCTGAAGATATTTTTATTTTATTTTAAATGTTAAAAATTTTGATTTCAGAGATAGAAATTGAGAGGGAGAAACATTGATGAGAGAGAACATAGATCAACTGCTTCCTGCACATTCCCTACTGGGGATCAGCCTGCAATCATGTGCCCTGACTGGGAATCAACCCAGGCCTCCTGGGTGCATTGGTCCATACTCAACCACTGAGCCACACCATCTGGGCTTTTTATTTTTTATTTTTTTTTATTTTAGAGAGGAAGGGAGAAACATTGATGTGAAAGAGGAACATCTACCAGTTGCCTCCTATATATTTATATACTGTGGGCATATATATATATATATATATATACACACCTTTTTTTTTTTTTTAAAAAAAAGAACTGTTTTAGAGGGACCAGTAAAATGTGCATTCCATTACTGCACAAGGGATCATGATTTAGCTCTCTATGTAAAAGTTCTGTATATAAAAACATTTTAGAGAAGTGGTTTACCAGATAATATATGTTTGTCGATTTAAATCTTTATAGGTACCAAGAACAGTGATTATCTTACATTGGGAGAAGGGGAAAGAAGTGCAGTTGCGTTATGAAGAAGAGAAGAGGAAGAACAAGCCGGATCAGAAGACGAAAACTCGGCAGAAGTTCTCAGTCCAGAGGAGGTACAGTTTTTATTTTTTTTGGAGCCAGTGATATCAAAAAGGATCTTTTGTTGCTTGATAGTAACAGATGCATACAGCTTTTCTCAAAGACACATGAGCAGTGTTCACAGAGAATATTTCTTAAATAATTAACTTTGTAATTGTGCCATTGTATTCTTTTTAACCTTTGTGAGAATATAAACATATTTCTCCTTCCTGGGCAATGTTCACAGAGAATATCCTATCTAATAAAGGGGGAATATGCTAATTGACCATCACGCCCTCACAAAGATGGTGGTGTCCACAGCCAATATGGAGGGAATATGCTAATTGACTGCAACACCTTCAAAGATGGCAGCGCCCAGTCCCCTCAGCCCTACCAGCCACCCAGGGCTGGCCTGAGGTTCACGCAAGCCTTGGATGTTGGCTACCCAGCTGCCTAGGGTTGCCCGAGGCTCAGGTAACCAGAGCCGGCTGAGACTTGCGCTGCCGGCAGTGGCAGCAGCAGCAGAGGTGTAATGGGGCGTTGCCTTCCCCTGATCATCAGATTACCTCCTGTCCCTGCGGGCTCCCGGACTGTGAGAGGGAGAAGGCTGGGCTGAGGGACCTCCCCCCTACTCCAGTGCATGAATTTTCATGCACCAGGCCTATAGTTTCTTAAATATTTCTCTTTGTAATTGTGCCATTGTATTCTTTTTAACTCGTGTGGGAATATAAACATATTTATCCTTCTTTCAACAGTGTCTTTTCTGGGGACTCCCAGGTTTCTGTTTCTAGTCCTGCCCTCTCTCCTGTCCTCTAATTACCTGCAAGGTATCAATGTTTGGATATAAACTCATCATTTTGAGTTCCCTGGAACCCAGTTTGGAGACCCATGTGAAAGTGCCTGGCTGGCGGGGAGGTACTACACTGATATCGGCCCATTTTACCAGTCGCTTCTCGTACCTCTTTGAGACGATCATATGTTTTTTCTTTTTAGTTTACATCATTTGTACATTTAAAAATTCATTTCTTTTCATGATAACACTGAGACATTTCATCAGAGATTTTCTTTTTAAAGGGTAATCTGATTTTATAGTGATTTTAATCACCATTTTTTCTTCCATTGATTAGTGAATGAGAGCTACAAGCCTGAATTTATAGCTCTTAGGAAGTGGTTGAAAGCTAGGAAGTTTGAAGATACGAATTTAATACCTGCTTGTTTTCCAGGTGAGTCTGGCTGTCAGTCCTCATGACCTTTGTCACAGGAGCCGTGGGCACAGGTGACAGGAAAGCAGGGATGAGCCTTGCAGGCGGCTGTATTATCTCGGGGAGCATAACTCGTATTATGTCAGGCTTCCTGCCTGGTAGCTGTAATTCTCTTTTAAAAAATATATTTTTATTGATTTTAGAGAGGAAGGGAGGAGGAGAGAGAGAAACATCAGTGATGAGAAAAAAATCATTGATCGGCTGCCTCCTTCACACTCCATACTGGAGGTTGAGCCCACAACCCAGGCATGTGCCCTGACCCGGAATCAAACCCTGATCTGGTTTATAGGTCGATGTCCAACCACTGATCCATGCTGGCCAGGCTGTAGCTATAATATTTGAGAAGGTGGATTAACATGCTTTACCTTGTTCTAAAAGTAAATTGAAGTGGCTTATGGGAAGACATTCCAAAATGGTGAAATAAAATTTAAAATTACAAAAGGGGGATGAGAATAGAAAAATAAGGCAAAGGCAGGAATAAGGATAATTCATAGAAATTGTGATCATAGGACCTTGCGGCCTCTCAGAGGCGAGCCACCAATTTGATGCTCCTTTCCAGCAGTGTAGACAAGGGATACGCCGGTGACCGAGTCTTAGTGCTGTTGTCCATCAGCAGAAGTGCAGACATCCCCGGAACTTAGTCTGTAATACACTTTACTTTTACAAGGTCCTCCTGGCCACTTCCTGCCTTGCCTTAGTAAGTGTAGGTGGCCAAGCTCTGTTTTCTGAACTTTGTTCAGTCTCTCTGCACCCTCCACACCCCCTTTCCCCTAAGAATTGTCAGTCCACTCCCTTTCTATGCCCCTGATTTCTATTATATTTACCAGTTTATTCTGTTTAGATTTTTTCTTCTTTCTTCTCCTCCTCCTCCTCCTCCTCCTCCTCCTCCTCCTCCTTCTTCCTTCTTCCTTCTTCCTTCTTCCTTCTTCCTTTTTCTTCCTTCTTCTTCTTCTTCCTCCCCCTCCTCCTCCTCCTTCTCACTTTGAATATTTTTTGCCACTCCCTTCTGGCCTGCATAGTTTCTGTTGAGAAATCAGCTGACAGGCATATGGGTGCTCCCTTGTAGGTAACTTACTTTTTCTGTTGCTGCTTTCAAGATTCTCCGCTGCCAGACAGTCCAGTTTCTCCCCGTATGAGTCTGGGTCTCCAGAGTCTCACCGGAACTGGAGCTCAGAGCAGTTGGGAGCTTGTGTCTCCCTCCTGATTGAAAAAGATGACAGTGTACCCAGTCATCAGCCCGTTTCTGTGCACACGCCTCCGTACCTTTGCTCTCCTGTTCCTCTGCACCTCCTGCCAGTCTGGATGCACTCTTCCCTTTCCTTCTAGTTGTAGAACTTTCTCTCAGCCAGCCTTCCTGGGGTTCTGGATGATGTCTGGTTTTTCTTTTAGTTGTAATTTTGATGTGGTTGTGTGAGACAGCAAGTTCAGGTGTTTACCAATATCACCATCTTGGTTCCTCTCCTGCTTTTTTTTTTTTTCTAAAGTTTTATATATGTTTCCTTTTTTGCCCAATTGACCTCCTCCCCCACAGCCTTGACCTTGACCTCCTTCCCACCTCGGGCAAGCCCCCACTGCCCCAGCGTCTGTGTCCATTGGTTATGCTAATATGCATGCATACAAGTCCTTTGGTTACTCTCCAGCCCCTCTCCCCTACCATTTGTCTCTAGATCAATCTGTTCTTTTCATCAAATTATGTTGATCATTATATCCCACATATGAGTGAGATCATGTGATATTCTCTTTCTCCGACTGGCTTATTTTGCTTAACATAATGCTTTCCAGTTCATCCATGTTGTTGCAAATGGTAAGAATTCCTTCTTTTTTATAGCAGCATAGCATTCCATTGTGTAGCTGTACCACAGTTTTTTAATCCAGTCATCTGCTGATGGGCACTTAGGCTGTTTCCAAATCTTAGCTATAGTATATTGTGCTGCTATGAACATAGGAGTGCATATATCCTTTCTGATTGGTGTTTCTGGTTTCTTGAAATATAATCCTAGGAATGGGATTACTGGGTCAAATGGGAGTTCCATTTTTAGTTTTTTGAGGAAACTCCATACTGTTCTCCACAGTGGCCGCACCAGTCTTCGTTCCCACCAGCAGTGCACGCGGGTTCCTTTTTCTCCGCATCCTCGCCAGCACTTGTCGTGGGTTTGTGATAGCCATTCTGACAGGGGTGAGATGGGACCGCATTGCTGTTTAGATTTGTATCTCCTGGATGGTTAGTGACTTTGAGCATGTTTTCATACGTGTCTCGTCCTTCTCTATGTCCTCTTTCAGAAAGTGTCTATTTACATCCTTTGACTGTTGTTTGATTGGATTGTTTATGTTCCTTTTGTTAAGTTGTAGGAGTTTTCTGTAAAGTTAGGAGATTAAGCCCTTATCAGAAATATCATTGGAAAACATGTTCTCCCTTGAACACTACGTTGTAGAAAAATATTGGTAAAGTGTCTTCCAGGTTTATCTCATATGCCAAGTTCTGTTCATATGCAGAGGTGGACGGAAGTTGGTTAACAGTTGTGAGTACTCAAAACACACAGTTTATTCTTATATTATAATGCATTGATTATAGTATTATTTATTTGTATTTCAACTGTAAACCTACTTTTGCCCACCTCCTATATGGTTGGAGATAAATTTCCACTTAAATTAGTGTACGAGTCTAAAGGAAGACTCTGCGGAGGAGGCCATTCTAAGGGCCCCTGAGAGACCCAGGAGATCTTTAGGTCTCGATTCTGCCCTTCGAGGATCGCAAACCCAGAGGAGCCAGCACGTGTCCGTTTCCATTAGCCCCCTGGACTCAGAGGATACGAGACGCCGGCTCTGAGGGTCCCGCACATCTGTGCAGAGTGCATTCACCTGCCTGTCTTTGGTTCCCAGATACCGGGCGAGGGCTGATGAGCAAGACGTCCCTGCAGGTGAGAATCTCTCTTGTCCTTGGAGCCCAGTGCAGATGTTGCTGCTTTGCTTAGTGGGCTAAGCAGTGGATTAAAAGTAAGTTCGGCATCCAGGCAGCCACTTACTCCATACGTTTCCTACAGCTCTGGCCGTTAGAGCTGCGTGCGCAGACCGGAGACACACCGAGCAGCCGGGCCCGCCCGGAGCAGTTTATTTTGCCGTCACGTGAACACGCCGGTAGGCGGCCTGGCTGCTGTGGCATCCGTGGCCGTCAGAGGCCCAGGACTTAGCGGCTCTCTGCCCGCGTCCGTGGAGGGAGCGCCACCCTCAGGCCCAGCGAGTAGCGCCTGGAGCCTGAGCAGCAGGACCAAGCAAGGGGGGAGGAAGGGCAGCTTCTCCCGGCAGGAAAGGGGCCGCGAACCAGCCGCCTCTCGCTGCCAGCGACACCCTGCGCAGCCCCAGCGGCAGGAGGCGACACCAGTGGGCAGTGCCCTCGGGGGGTTGGGTGGTGAGGAGGGGAGAGGTCTGTTGGGTTGGCAGCCAGCAGTCTGCCACAGCGGATTTTATGAACCAGATCACGTGTTAACCATGCCAGGGGAGGGAGCTGCTCTCATCTGCGAGTCTGCGTAGCAGAGGAGGTAGCAGAGGAGGTGGAACGGAACAGGCAGAGGGAGGTGATCTGATCTCCAAGGTCTATTTATGCCATTTAAAGCACATTTAATACAGTTTTCTGTAAAGCTACTAATCAGTTCCTTAATTTTTATTTAAAATAATTTTTATTTCTCAATTTAATTTATATAAACCCCAACCTTGTACATATGTTTAGTGTAAAGAATGGTAACTTTTAGTGTTGTAATTCTATTATGCTATTTTAATTTTTAAATTACTTTATAATTTTTAATTGTGGCGAAATACATCCTACTATAAAATAAAACTTACCATCTTAACCACGTAAGTGGGCAGCTTATTGGCATTAAGCACATGCACATTGTTGGGTAATATTGTTATTTTTTGAACAGAGGTATAATTGACCTCAGATGTAGCAGAGTTTGGCGAGTAGACATATACCTCTCATGTGTAGAGCAGTGACTATCGGTCATTTTTAAAAATAGGTTTTTATTTATTTTAGAGAGAGAGGAAGGGAGAAGGAGGAAGATAGAAACATTGATGAGAGAGAAACATGGCATGGATGAGAGAGAAGCATGGATTGGCTGCCTCCTGCACATCCCCTACTGCAGTTGGAGCATGTGCTCCGACCAGGAATCAGACCTTGACCTCCTAGTTCATAGGTCGATGCTCAGCCATGGAGCCATGCCGGTGGGGCTGCACAGCTTTTGTGCTCAGTTTGATGAGCTTTGATGATGAAGATATTTACCTCAAGGACCATATAGACCATTTTATCAAGTGGCTTTAAAAAAAATCTCACCTGAGGGTACGTTTTAACTGATTAGAGAGAGAGAGAGAGAGAGAGAGAGAGAGAGATCCACGTGTGAGAGAAACATTGACAGGCTGTCTCCCTCACCCGCGCTGAGTGGAGATGAAGCCTAAAGCTCGGTGTGTACCTGACCTGTCTGGAGCCGCCACCTTTGGTTGTACAGGCCGGTTCTCTAACCCTGGCACTGGGTGGGTTTTTAAAAATCATACTGTCACAGATGTCGGGGCAGGAAGAGGTGGTAGAGATGATCTAGTTTAATCTCAATATACAGAAGAGGCAACTGGAACTGGCATCTAGCTGATTGTCGGCTGAGATTCGTAACGGAGACGCCAGTGACAATGCCAGCAGGACTTACACCGGTGTCCCGGCGCCTCCCCGTGTCTGGCGTCCGCTGCTTGCATCTTCCTTTCCCTTCTCCGTTCCCACCGCCGTGGGAAGAGCTGGACTGCGGCAGGTGGAAGGCGAGCCCCGTGCTGGGTGCGCTGCCCTGGCTTTCGCTAGTGACACAGGCGAGGAGGGTGGCCAATCTACGACAGCCTCTGGCACATGGGCTGCACCAGATGGACGTGTGTGTGTCTGTGTGTGTGTATCTGTGTCTGTTGTGTCTGTTTCCTGAAGGTGCACAACTTCCGGCCTGAGAAAGCGAAGGGTCAGTTTGGTTTGGTTGTCAGTGTTTGCACATTCCTTCCCGGTGGAAGGTTGACAGCCACATAACTGACCTTTAACTCCTGTGGGGTCGTCGCCCCTGCGCTGGGGCAGCCGTGCCGGCATCCACTGGCACAGGGGCTTGGGAGTTAGTCGGTGGTGGTCTCAGTGGCCGGGTTATCCTGGTTCTTAGCAGATGAGACGGAGGGCTGGAAAGGACGCGCGCTCACAGGCCCTCCCCAGAGCCGGGCGTTCTAAACTCTGCTTTCTTTTCCGGAAGGAGGGCCAGTTGATTATCTCGTTGCCTGAGAGCTGCCTGCTCACCACGGACACGGTGCTTCGGAGCCACTTAGGGCCGTACATCGCTAAGTAAGTGACCCTCACGTGCTCCCTGGGCACCGTAAGCCTGCACCATCGCAGATACAGCACCGAGGCCGAGTCAGGAGGACCCAGCCCCGCGCACAGCTGACACTGCAATGGTGCAGAGGTCTACTCTGGGCTGTGGAGTTTGCTTTTAATTCACCACAAACTGGGAGGAGGGTTTGAATCCTGATCTGTCCCAGAAACGGAAGATGAGATGGGATAATAAAGGAAATCATGGCTGAGCGCCTTGCTCATAGTAGCTGTTCTTCATCGCAGTAGAGCTTGACAAATGTTAATTTCTCTTTTGTTTTTACCTTCTTTGTACTTGCTTGAACTGGCTTTCAGCTCTGAAGAGCTGTTAACATTAGAGTTAGTTTTAGCCGAAACCGGTGTGGCTCAGTGGATAGAGCGTCGGCCTGCGGACTGAAAGGTCCCGGGTTCGATTCCAGTCAAGGGCATGTACCTTGGCTGCGGCACATCCCCAGTAGGGGGCGTGCAAGAGGCAGCTGATCAAACGAAGCTGGGACTCGGTTAGTGAGTCCGCTCTGGTGTGGACGTGACTTGTGCGGACACTCGAAATAAACGGGGCGAGCGCTGACCAGTCCTTCTGTGGGAGCAGAACTAACCACTGGAGCGTCCGTGTCTTCAATAAAAGTAACTTCTTTCTTTCGCTTTTACTTCGGCAAGGTGGCAGCCGCCCCCGTCTCCGCTGCTGGCTCTGTGCACCTTCCTGGTTGCAGAAAGGCATGCTGGGGACCGGTCTCCCTGGAAGCCCTACCTGGAGGTCTTGCCAAAGGCCTACACCTGCGCTGTGTGTCTGGAGCCCGACGTGGTGGCTCTCCTCCCCAGGCCGCTGGCGGCGGCGGCCAGAGAGCAGAGGATGCGCGTGCGTGAGCTGTTCACTTCCTCTCGAGGCTTCTTCTCCTCCCTGCAGCCCCTGCTCTCCGCGGCCGCCGAGAGCGTCTTCAGCTACCGCGCCTTCCTGTGGGCCTGGTGCACCGTCAACACCAGGGCCGTGTACATGGCGCGGGGCCGCAGGCAGGGCCTGTCCACGGAGCCCGACACCTGCGCGCTCGCCCCGTTCCTGGACCTGCTGAACCACAGCCCCGCCGTCCAGGTGAGGGGACACATTCTGTTTCCGCAGGAGGGACACGGCCTCAGAGCTGTGACCCAGAACAGTGCGGGGCCCACAGGGAGGGTGTAGCTGGCTCTGGTAACGGCCTGCCGCCCCACCCGCCAGGCGTGCTCCTGTCTCCTCCCAGCCCATCTTCCTCCCGGCTGCAGAGCCCCGTGTTAAATCCCCATTCCCTCCTCCCCAGGCCTTAAGCCGCAGCCTGCCCTCCCTCGCCCACTGTGGTGCAGTCTTCCTCCTTCCAGAACTGGCCTGGAGTGGTTTGCACTCTGTCCCGACCCTTGTATACTTGGGGCCTTGCCTCCGCTTGATCTCTGCTGTGATCTCTGGTTCATGTCCTCTCCCTCTCTGAGCTCTGCAGTCTTAGAGGACCGGCACTCTGCTTTGTTCCTTTTGTAATCCCGGTGCTCAGCCCAGGGTCTGGCACGTAATAGGCCTTCCATAAACCTTTATTAGAAAAGTACACACATACACACACACAAACAAACAAACCTTTACCGAGTGGGGAAACGAGTCGGAATCATCAGAGAATCCTGCGTTGGGAGAGTCGGAGCCCTCGCTCTCTGCCCCGCTCCCCTGTGGCACCTGGTGAGCCAGCCCTCACGGTCCACGGGGAGGCACTCCGGCCGGGACCCACGCTCACCGTCCTCTTCCCACTGTGCCGCCCGGTTAGCCCGCGGCCGTGGGGAGGGCGTGGGAGGCCCCGCCGTGCTGTCCGAGGCCACGGCACTCCTCGCCGTCTGCTTGTCACGCTGAGTGCGGGAGGCCGAGCCGGAAGGGTGTCTGGTGGCTGCCCATGAGATGAGTCGGGCGTATACATAGGATGCTGGACGCGGACTCTGCCCATTGGCGGACTGGCTTTTTATTGGGCTGTTCAGGCCCTTATGATCCCAGGACCAGTGATTCCCCAGGACCAGCGATTTTGCAGTTGAGTGTGGGTCCCGCCTCCCGCAGCCTGGGACATGTGGCTGCCAGCCCTCTCTGTCCTCTCCCTCTCTGCCCTCTTCCCTCTCTGCCCTCTTCCCTCTGCCCTTTCCTCCCTGCCCTCTGTGGAAAAAGGTTGCCGGCGGGGCGGGTCTAACATGCGTGCAGCTGGCTTCTGGCACGAGACTCCAAACCACAGCCTTACTCTGTTGTTGCTGCTGCCAGGTGGGGATTGCAGCCTGCTCCTCCTCCGCGCCTCGCTGGGGCTCGCTGGGCTTGGCCGCTAAGGAAGGAGGCCTCAGCGCCTGCACCCACGCCTTTCTGTGGGGAGCAGGTAGGTCTTGTCTTTTCCTCTCTACCATCAACTCACCCGCAGTCACACATCCATAGGCAGAGTCAGCGGTGTCAGGCTCAGACAGGTTCCGCGGGGGGCCCCGGAGGCCTGGCGGGCAGCTCCCCTGCTCTCACTGGCCGTCCCGGCTGGAGCGGAGGCTTCCCACGCTGGTTGCTCTGCCAGCCAGACAGCCCCCCACCTGGTCCTCAGCCTAGCCCAGTGGTCGGCAAACTCAGTAAACAGCCAAATATCAACAGGACAATGATTGAAATTTCTTCTGAGAGCCAAATTTTTTAAACTTAAACTTTTTTTAAAAAAATATATTTTATTGATTTTTATACAGAGAGGAAGAGAGAGGGATAGAGAGTTAGAAACATCAATGAGAGAGAGTCATCGATCAGCTGCCTCTTGCACACCCCCTACCGGGGATACGCCCGCAACCAAGGTACATGCCCTTGACCGGAATCGAACCCGGGGCCCTTCAGTTCCCAAGCCGACTCTATCCATTGAGCCAAACCGGTCCCTGCTAAACTTAAACTTCTAACGCCACTTCTTCAACATAGACTCGCCCAGGCCGTGGTGTTTTGTGGAAGAGCCACACTCAAGGGGCCAGAGAGCCGCCTGTGGCTCTTGAACCGCAGTTTGCCGATTATGGGCCTAACAGGTTCACCTCCCTGCCAAGGCTGGAAGTCGTCCAGGCAAATAAATGACATCGTCCAGGGAGCCAGGCACCTCGTCACTACACAGCCTGCTTCCTGTGGTCGCTGCTGTGACGCCCAAGTGCAGCCTGGGGGCCGGGAGGCTGACCACCCCCTTCCCCTCCCCCCCGGGCTGTCTGGGTGACAGCCATTGTCCGGGGTTACCCGTTGTCGGGGGTCGCCGTCCCCAGGACCAGGGCTGGGACCCCCTCACGGGGCGAATGGGGCCTGCCTTGTCTCCACGTGTGGTTCCGCTCGGCGATGAGTGTTCCAGCGGGCATCTGGCTTACGTAACCATAATAACTCAGTCTTGGTTTTGGGTTTTGCTTTAAAAAGGCACCATCTTCCCCTCCAGGTGGACGCGGCGTTTAACGAGGAGAGCCGCTGCTACGAGATCAGGACGGGCGCGGGCTGCCGGCGGCACGAGGAGGTGTTCATCTGCTACGGCGCCCACGACAGCCGGCGGCTGCTGCTGGAGTACGGCTTCGTGCCCCGCGCCAGCCCCCACGCCTGCGTGCCCGTCCCGCAAGGTGGCTGCTCCGGCTCCATCCCAGAGCGGGCGTACACTCCCCCTCGGGGGGCTAGCTCTTTTAAGTTTTAGTAAAAACGGCAGACCTTTTTTCCTTCTAAATATTTTTATTGAATCCAGAAAGGAAGGGAGTGGGAGAGAGAGAAGCATCCATGATGAGAGAGAATCACTGATCGGCTGCCTCCTGCACGCCCCCCAGTGGGCCTCAGGAGGCATGTGCCCATCGAGCCCACAGCCCAGGCCTGTGCCCCGACAGAGAATTAAACTGTGATCTCCTGGTTCCTAGGTTGAGACTCAACCTCTGAACCACACCGGCCAGGCAGCAATCCTTCAAATGTGTATTGTTTCTTTTCTCCGAGGTAGGGCTAGCCTTACTCTGGCAGGCCACGTAATTGCAAAACTAAGTAAAAGCTCCGAAGCTTTGACCAACATTGAGGATAAGAAGAACCGGGAAGAGTTCATTGAGCTCGGTCAGGCAGGATGGAGGCACAGGAAGATGCAAGGAGATGCCTGCTTAGAGATGGGAGAAACGGGACTCTCCATACGGAGACCTGTCACTGTCACTGAAGGGAGGTCAGGGTGAGAGCAGCACGTGGCCATGCAGACCTGCCGTGTGGGAGGCCTGTGCTCCCCACAGAGAGTGCAGGCCCTGCTCCGGGGCTTTGCCGCGATGAAGGCCTGGGTGCCGCTCTTTTGTGCCCATTACGTAGCCATCACCTCGGTGTTACCCTTTCTAAGACCAGGATTTAGCTGGTACAGTTATGCCGTGGCCCAGCTGGCGTGGCTCCGTGGTTGAGTGTCGACCTACCTATGAACCAGGAGGTCACAGTTCATTCCTGGTCGGGGCACTATCTGCCTGCCCACTGGCCAGAGCCCGGGCTGTGGGCTCCATCCCCGGTGGGGCGTGTAGGAGGCAGCCGGTCAGGGAGTTCTCTCGTCATTGATGTTTCTGTCTCTGTCTCCCGTCCTCTCTGAAATCAATACAAACATTTTAAAAACTTGCACTGTGAAAGCTCCCAACAAAGGGGAGACAGCAGTGGGAGCCGGGCCTTCTCCGGGCGGCGGAGACTCCAGCGTGGGGAGCCACAGGCACCCAGCGGGTGATGAGGTGGTTCTGGTGCAGGTTCTGGCGGAACCAGGAACCTGTCCGGGGGTGCTCCTCCATCCCACGGGTGTTTGGTCCCGCCTCGTGGAGTTCCTGGGCTTTTCCAGAGCGGAGGATGGTCTCAGCGTGGGCCTTGAAGAAGAGACCTCTGTTTTGTAGGAATGAAGTCACACTTTCCATGTGTCTGGATTGCAATGGGAAGGAAAGTAAGCTGAGAAGGAAAGGTTTATACCTTTGTCTGAATTACACCCTAAATCTCAGTCTTGATTTTTTTTTCATGCAGATATGCTTGTTAAATACCTCCCATCAGCAGATAAGCAGATGAACAAAAAGATTGCCATTTTAAAGGATCATGACCTTATAGAGTAAGTGTTGCTCTCACAGTGGTTCCATGGGGAAATGGTGATAAAATGGAGGGCAGGGCTCTGTAGGGAGGACACCTGGCTCTCACCAGCGGGCAGGCAGGTGTGACCGAGCGCTTTCTCTGCGGGTGTCATGTGGACCCGGGAGTGTAAGATTCTTTTCAAGGAAGCTTTCAGGGACGCAGCGGCCAGCGTGGACAGGACATCCTGGTGCCAGCGGAGAGCCTGGGTGTGCTGGTTGGTGGCCCAGGTTGCGTTTGTCTCTGAATGTGGCCCAGTGGGTGCCATCGGCTGGTGGGGGCCAGGCTGGCCCTCACCTAACACAGTGTGGGCTCTGGGGAGGGGGTGGCTGGTGACTCGCCCCCAAAGGGAAAAGAGGGTCAGGGCGCTCCCTTCTGTGGCTGAAGGGCAGTGTGAGGGGCCGGCTCAGGCGCAGGCCTGGCGCTGGGTGGTGCTGCTGGTTTACCCCAGGCCACCCACGGCGTCGGCCTGTCTCCCTGCGCCTGGCCCGGGCCCCTGTGGGGACTCATCCCGCGCAGCCTCTGGCCCAAGCGCATGGGAAGCAGCTGCTTGCTTTTCTTTTTTTAACACGGGAGACCTTCCTGTACTCGGGCTTTATCGTTAGGTACTTGGAGACTTTTCTCCTTTTGCCTTTCTGACCAAGACCGCAGGCTCCGTAACGCTTAGTGCCGCTTCAGAAAGACTGCTATGCCCCAAAAGTCCTAGTGACGGTGTCCCGTCCTGTCCCCCCGCAGGAACCTGACGTTCGGATGGGACGGGCCGTCCTGGCGGCTGCTCACGGCGCTGCGGCTGCTGTGCCTGGAGCCTGCGGAGTTGTGAGTGCTCGCGGGCGGGCAGGCGGGCAGGGGTCCCCTGGGATGCCGTGGGGACGCGGGCGGGCAGGGGTCGCCCTGGGATGTCATGGGGACGCGGGCGGGCGCTCCTCATGCCACTCCCGTGGGCGGGTGTTCTCTCTGAGTGTCCCCGTGTCCGGCTCTGGGAGCGTCACGGTCAGAGTGCGTGGTTGGTGGAACTCAGAGTCTCTCCTCGGAGGCCCCCCGGGGACCTCAGCTCCTGTTCAGAAGCGCGGGCACTGGCACTGCCCAGAGGGTCTGAGTGGGTGGGTTTTCCGTTCTGCCCCGGGGCAGACCCAGGGCGAGGCCTGGGCGTGTTCCGGGGAGGCGCAGGGGAGCCTGGTGTCCATGGTCCCGGCCAGGCTTCCACGGAAGGACCGCGGCTCCATGGCTGTGCTGCTGCCGCTCTGCTGCCGTGCAGAGGAGCCGCGAGCAGGGGGACTTCCTGCAGCGGTGGAGCCCGAGTGGGGGGGTCGCGTGAGAGGGCTCAGTGCCCAGGCGTGGTGTGCTCGTTCTGCTCCGTGGGGCCTCTGAGGGTTTTTTTTTTTTTTTAATTAAAAAAAACTTCATTTGCTGAGGCCCTGCTGAAATGATCTTACTAAACGTTCTGGTTCTAGTCTGTGCTGGAAAAAAGTCCTCCTTGGGGAGATAGTTTCAGACGTGAATGAGAAGGCGAGTTTGGACGTCGCCCAAAAAATATGCCGCTACTTCACAGAGGAGGCTAGCGCTATGCTTCAGAAGGTACGTTCCTATAATTTTGCATTTCTTTCTTTAATGTACTTTTTAAAATTGATTTCAGAGAGGAAGGGAGAGGAAGAAACATCAATGATGAGAGGGAATCATTGATTGGCTGCCTCCTGCATGTTGTTGGACCGAGCCCGCCACCCAGGCATGTGCCTTTGTCCGGAATCGAACCTGGGACCCTTCAGTCTACAGGCCGACGCGCTCTCTGCTGAGCCACACCGGCCAGGGCTTACATCTTTCTCTTGAAGAAGTGTTTGATTAAGAAGTTACTTGTTTTGGGCACGTTGGGTAGAGATGGCATACCTTCTCTTGAGTGTTGTTGAATGCCTTATATACTTGAACATTGATGCTTCCCGTTTTTTGACTATTAACATTGTGCCTGCACCTTTTAATAGTAAATTTACCTTGTGAATTCTTGATAATAGGTTTTAAGTACTCTTTTCCTTTTGTTTTATTTAGTCACTGTTTTAGTTAAGTGAAAAAAGAGCTGCCCCAGCTGGTTTAGCTCAGTGGATAGAGTATTGGCCTGTGAACTCAGGGTCCTGGGTTTGATTCCGGGTAAGGGCACGTGCCCAGCTGCCGGCTTGATACCCAGAGGGGGGCGTGCAGGAGGCAGCCAGTGATTCTCTCTCATCATTGATGTTTCTCTCTCCCCCTCTTCCTTCCTCTCTGACATCAATAAAAACATATAAAAAATAAATAAAACAACAGCTCATTTGAATAAAAACATTACTGGGATTTAAACTATTTTAATGAACTTTGAAGGCAACATTGTGCTCAGTGGAATAAATCAGAATGCAGGCAACAGGCTGCTCGGCCCCCCTCTGGGAGGACCTGGGACAGGCAGGGGCGTGGAGCCAGACGGTGGAGGATGCCAGGGCTGGGAGGGTGTGTTTGGTGGGAACAGAGTTTCTGGTGATGTTACATAACATTGTGGACATTGTAAATACCACCGCGCTGTACATTTAAAAGCGCTCAAAATGGTAAGTTTTACGTATGTTTGATTATAATAAAAAGTTAAAAATCACTTGCAGGTTTCTCACATGAAGGAGAAGGAAATGGCGGGGACACACCAGCTCGCTCTGGTGGAGACGCTGTGGGCAGAGGAGCTGAAGATTCTTCGGGCGTCCGCCGAGACGCTGAGCAGTTTGCAGACGCTGTTCGTGACTCACCCAGGGGCCCCGCGGGATGCCACCCCCTCTGCGGGGTGTGACACCTAAAACCCTGAGCACTGAGGCGCGTTTACCCAGAACCGCGTACACGGACGGAGCCTCCCATTAAATGGCCTGCCTCGCTGTGGGCTGGTGTCCGGTGGTCAGCATGCCCCTGACCACTTCCCGTGGGGCTGTGTGCCTCTGCGGGTGGCCGTCACCTTCCTGGTGCTGTCGGGAGGTCAGGAGGACGTTCTGGTGCTCAGTGGGCCCTTTAGAATTATGGGTCTTTGCCTTTCCTCATTATTTATTTAAAAAAAATACAAGTGTGCTTGACGCCGAAACTGGTGTGGCCCAGTGGATAGAGGGTCAGCCTGCAGACTGAAGGGTCCCAGGTTTGACTCCGGTCAAGGGCATGTACCTTGGTTGCGGGCACTTCCCCAGTGGGGAGTGTTCAGGAGGCAGCTGATCGATGTTCCTCTCTCATCAATGTTTCTGGCTCTCTGTCCCTCTCCCTTCCTCTCTGTAAAAAACCAATAAAATATATTTTAAAAAATAAAAAAATAAATGGTGTGCTTGATCCTGGCCTGTACCTTCCCTGGGGGCGGGGACCGTGGAGGACAGGTGCAGGCCGGGCTCTGGGATGGCAGCTGCAGGTGAGGAAGGGCGTGTCATCCTAACGGCACCTCTGATGCCGCTGAACAGCCCTGAGGGGGGACGCCTCTGTGAGGAAGCTGGGCCCACTGGAGGGAGCCCGGCCTCACCAGCACCTCCACCTTCACTCCTACCCCCACTGCCACCCCCACCCCCGCCCCCGCCCCCGATCCACTCCCACCCCCACCCCCGCCCCCGCCCCCACCCCCGATCCACTCCCACCTTCACCCCCGCCCCCACCCCCGCCCCCGATCCACTCCCGCCCCCACCCCCTTCACCCCCACCCCTGCCCCCACCCCCGCCCCCGATCCACTCCCGCCCCCACCCCCGCCCCCACCCCCGATCCACTCCCACCTTCACCCCCGCCCCCACCCCCGCCCCCGATCCACTCCTGCCCCCACCCCCTTAACCCCCCTCCGCCCCTGCCCCCGCCCCCGATCCACTCCCACCCCCACTGCCACCCCCACCCCGCCCCCGCCCCCGATCCACTCCCACCTTCACCCCCGCCCCCACCCCCGCCCCCGATCCACTCCCGCCCCCACCCCCATCTCCACCCCCACCTTCACCCCCACCCCCACCCCCACCCCCACCTTCACCCCCACCTCCACCCCCACCCCACTCCCACCCCACCCCCACCTCCACCCCCACCCCCACCCCCACCCCCACCTTCACCCCCACCCCCACCCCCTTCACCCCCACCCCCACCCCCACTCCACTCCCGCCCCACTTCCACCCCTACTCCCACCCCCACCTCCATCTCCACTCCACTCCCACCCCCACCCCCATCCTCACTCCACTCCCACCCCTGCCCCCACCCCCGCCCCCGATCCACTCCCACCCCCACCCCCACCCCCGCCCCTGCCCCCGATCCACTCCCACCCTCACCCCCATCTCCACCCCCACCTCCACCCCCACCTTCACCCCCACCCCCACCCCCACTCCCACCCCCACCCCCGATCCACTCCCGCCCCCGATCCACTCCCACCCTCACCCCCATCTCCACCCCCACCTCCACCCCCACCTTCACCCCCACCCCCACCCCCGCCCCCGCCCCCGCCCCCGATCCACTCCCACCTTCACCCCCGCCCCCACCCCCACTCCCACCCCCACCCCCGATCCACTCCCACCTTCACCCCCGCCCCCACCCCCACTCCCACCCCCACCCCCGATCCACTCCCGCCCCCGCCCCCTTCACCCCCACCCCTGCCCCCGCCCCACCCCCGATCCACCCCCACCTTCACCCCCACCCCTGCCCCCACCCCCGCCCCGATCCACTCCCACCCCCGCCCCCGCCCCCGCCCCCACCCCCGCCCCCGATCCACTCCCGCCCCCACCCCCTTCACCCCCACCCCCGCCCCCGCCCCCGATCCACTCCCACCCTCACCCCCATCTCCACCCCCACCTTCACCCCCACCTTCACCCCCACCTTCACCCCCACCTCCACCCCCACCCCACTCCCACACCACCCCCACCTCCACCCCCACCCCCGCCCCCACTCCACCCCAGCCCCCACCCCCATCCCCGCCCCCACCCCCGTGTGGTCTTTCTTCCCTGAAGGTGTGCTGCTGCTCTGGCTCAGCAGGAAGGGCCAGCAGGGGGGCTTCTGTGACCTCAGGGTCAGGTAGCAGGGAGGGCGGGCAGTCCTTCGTGCCAGCACCTCACGCCCAGCTGACTCCCACTGAAAGGAGGTTGTTGGGCTGGAGTGGCGTTCCCTGTGCTCCATCCCCCCCCCCCCCCAGCAGAGGGGGAGGAGCCGGCACCTGGCAGCAGAGGCCCAGGTGATGCTGCCCACCCCTGCCTCAGAGCCAGGCCAGCTGCTCGGAGGGCACCCGGCGCGGACCGGGTTTGGGAAGGGAAAGCTGGTGAATGAACACGGAGTGTGGCCTGCCTCGCTGTGGGCTGGTGTCCGGTGGTCAGCATGCCCCTGACCACTTCCTGTGGGGCTGTGTGCCTCTGCTCTGTGCGTGGCTGTCACCTTCCCGGTGCTGTTGGGAGGTCAGGAGGACGGTCTGGTGCTCAGTGGGCCCTTTAGAATTATGGGTCTTTGCCTTTCCTCATTTATTTATTTATTTAAAAAAATACATTTTCATTGATTTCCAAAAGGAAGGGAGAGGAAGAGAAACATCCATTAGAGAACCATTGATCCACTGCCTCCTGCACTGGGGATCGAGCCCAGAACCCGGGCCTGTGCCCCGACCGGGAATCGAACTCTGACCTCCTGGTTCAGAGGTCGACGCTCAGCCCCTGAGCCGGCCTGGCCGGGAGCTTCTTTAAAATCACAAAAGCCTTTTAGGTCCGGGCTTCCCTCGGAGTGAGGCTCGGATGTGAAGTTTGCTCTCAACAGGCCTTTCAGACCCTGGCTCTGCACCGGCACTCTCACAGCGTTCTCCTGCCTGTGATGCCAGCAGGCAGGACGGGCGGGCAGAGCAGGCGTGTCACTGCACGGAAGCCGGGCTGCTGCTTATGACCCGGACATCACCGGACCGAAGACGGTGGGCCTCCCTTCCGAGCCCTCTCACCCCGCACCGAGCCTCCCCCTCCCGGGAGCATCTCCGCCCGCCGCCGTCACCGGTGAGTGCGCCCGCCCATGCTGAGCTGAGTGCGGGATACACGGGCGCTCAGAGCTCCATGCTCTTCCCGGCCTCCTGAGAACAGCCACCGCCCAGCCCAGTCCCAAGGAGCTGAGGAGAGGAGCTGATCTGCTGGGTGGTGAGCTGGAGGCGCTGCCTCCTCAGACACTGGGTGGCGCTGGAGGACCGCCGCGCAGAGCAGGCTGGCTGCTCAGAGGCGGGCAGTGTGTGCAGGTGGGAGTGGGGTCCGGGCCCAGCACACAGCTCTGCTCCTGGGATGGGAGAGCGGGCAGCTGCACAGCAGGTCAGGGCGGAGGGGCCTGGCGGGTGTGGGGCTCAGAGGGAGGGTGGGGGCCGGCGATCAGATGCAGGACCTGCCTGCCTCAGACAGGCCATAGGAAATGCCAGCATGTGGCACTCCCTCCCTCCCCCTTCCCCCCTGGCAGAAGGAATGGCTCATCGCAGGCCAGGCTAGCTCCCTGGTCTGGGCAGGTGGGCGGGTGCTGCCAGGCAGACAGGGAGGCCCACTTTTCAGGGTGTCACGGCACCCACACAGGAAGGGGTCTCCTGTGACGCGCTCCTGCCAGGCGGGCCGGGGCGGGAAGGAGCCCTCCTCTGATGGAGTTGCCTGTCTGTCCGTAAGGCGTGTGTTAGACGTGAGGACAGAGCCTCAGGCTGTGTGCCCGGTGTCCTTGTCCTGGGAGCCTGCGTCCACGTTGACTGCCAGGCGTGAGGCGGAGGCCTCCTCCGAAAGGATCCCAGGTCTGCTGGGCCGTCCAGGGCCCGGTGGTGTGTCCTGAGGGCAAGCTCGCTCCCCTTGCCGGCCTCGGACCCTGTGCCACCTCTGCCGTGGGTGCCCACCCGGCCTTGCCTCCAGTGGGTGGCGTTCCAGGCGGAGCGCCTGCAGGGCCCCTTAGCCTGGACGAGGAGAGCGGCCACGCGTGACCGTGGTCTGACGGAGCCGCCTGACGGTGACGCTGTTTGCCGGAAGCCATCTTGCTGGGAGGTCAGGGGGGATCACGAGCTCTCTGATGTGGCTTAATGTGCAGGTGAGGCTGGGGGCTGTGGCTCACGTGGGCCCCACGGAAACAGTGAGCGGAGCATGCCGCCTCCATGCAGGAGCAGGAGCGGGCCTGGCGGCGGGCACGGGAGCCCCATCTTCTTCCTCCATCCATCCGTGTGCAGGAGCCCGGCAGCTCCCCCACAGCCCGCTGCCCACGCGGTCTGCGGCCAGCGGTGCCCACACCCCGGAGGCCGCCCGAGCCCGGTCTGTGTGCCCGAGTCAGACGCTGCCGCAGGCCGCTCCCCGGCCTCCCCGGGGGCTGGCGGCAGGGCCAGCGAGTGCCGGACGGTGCCAGGGGTCTGGAGAGGTGAGGAGAGCCCGGCCAGGGGGCCGTGGGCACAGTCACTGCCGGGCGGGGCACAGCCTGGCCGCCACGGGTGGGGCCGGCCTTTGGCTGAAGCATCTTTGTCAGACGCCTCTGCCCAGACGTGCCTGCGGCAGGCATTCGGCCACGGAACCGGGGGCTGGGAGCGTGTCTGCCGGGAGAGAAGCGGCTGGCTGGCAGGTGTGTGGTCTGGTTTGGTTTCATTGATGAAGCAATCAGGTGCCGTAAAGCAGATGAAAGAACTGGTGGCCATTTGCTTTGTGGCTTTGCTTCATCTCTCCATGGCGAGGCTCTCATCGCTCCGGTTCAGGTTCGGTCACCTGCCCCTGTCAGCCAGCCCTTCCTCAGCGGCATCTCCCCGATGACCAGCCTGGCCACAGGAGGTGGCTCTCCTTCTGAAAGGG